ACGCACTTTATCAATGCACTTGAAACGTCACACGAGAGGAAACATCGCACGGCACTCTGTTTCGGTAGAAGAAAGAAGCGGTACATAGAATATATATGTTAACTGACACACAACCACAGCAGGACGTTCGATAGTGATTTTTACGTTTTATTTTGTTCTTTTTTTGCAATAGAAAACGAAATCGCGAGGAAACTGTTAAGAGGATATAAACGTTGCAAGTACAGAAGAAAATTTATTATATATATATAAATACTATACTATGTTGTATTGTTCATCTTGTTCGAGGGTGAGTCACGTTTAAATATAAAAAGAGGTTATATATACGTATAACGAGTAACAATGAAAAAAAATGGAAGAAAAAGCTGCACGTTCGCACAATGATCCGGTCGCTCGTCGGCTGTACATTTTGTTTTAATGTACGTACGGTATACCTATATATTGGTGTCTGGTGGCGATAAGAGCGATAACAATTTGATAATTATTATTTTTATTTTGTTTTTACCTAATTGTAGTTTCTTTGTAACTCTTTGTGATATACATTGCAATAGTCTATCCGACCGTTTATTTCTTGTATCGATTAGCGCAACCTTCATTAAAGCAAGACAAAGAAACATATGTAGATGTAAAAGGTTCTATTTCACGATAGTCGCCCTTCTCTTTAACGAATTGACGGTGCTAACCGAAGTCAGCACTGGCCAAGTTAGATGTATTATTTAAACCTGAATGCAAATAAAATTCCAATACATAGAATATAAGCATTTAATCGGGATAGTACAATAAGACTAGGCTATTACTTCTCTGGGAAGGCAGAGACACTTTTTATTTCCGATTCCGCGAGAATATATTGCACTCGAGATGGAAATTGCTTTTCTATCCATGTACCATTGCCAATCTTACAGCTGTCTTCTGGAGAAGAGAAGAATGTTCTTTCCTGTGGATAATTTAAATTCATACACAAAATAATAAAATAATGATTTTATGGTACATTTAAAATGTGATACTTTAAATGGTAATTGAAACGCGCAATTTCTCGGCTGGAGAAATTACTCGAGCAGATCGACAGTCATTCCCGAAAGTATTTGAATAAAGCGAGGGATTGAAGGAAAATTTATTTCTAAAACAAATCCAGCAAATTGGTTATAATACAAATTACAAAAGAACATGTATTATTAAAAATTCAGTTTTTTGTATTTTTGTACATTGTTCAAATACTTTCCTCAGCAATTGCATCTGCTTAACACCGTTATGGGATTTTCTGCCTGGAAAAGGTTAACATTCCAATCTTATCCTTATCAAAATTCGCGCATCGTTTCCAAACACATCTACATGATGTATTTTTTCTTAATATTCTTTCCATGCGATTCCTATATAAAATAAGATAAACTATATTTGAACTGCACTATTTAAAGGAAAGACGAAGGCGGGACATTACTATCACCAACATATTTTGCAGAAACAGAAACATTTAAGACCACATCAACTCCCCTAGGAATTAAATAAAAATTTCTGTCCTTACTTTTTCAATATGATTGAAAATTACAGCAACTGCTTCGAACATTATGCCAAATCCAAGTTATCCTTCCATGAATAACATTTTTAACTCCCTCTCTTCCTCGTTCATTGTTCTCAAGTGACAGCAATAACATTAAAAGAAAGCCTCGGCATTGCCAGTTCCGTATCCCCAAATCTCTAACTCGCAAAACTAACGATCCTGCGCCTGTTTTCTTTCCATGTCTAACCAGACCAGCTGCCGAGTTTGCCTACCGACATCACGTTCGAGATCTGCACGTCGTCGTCCTCGTCGTCGCCGCCGCCGCCCGCGACGACGACGACGTCGGCCCGCACCAGCGAGGACAATTTCGGTGAGGACAACGGGAGCAACACGTTCATCAAATCCGAGAGGGTAGTCAGCGGCATGCACTTCCTGACCGACCGGGAGGAGGACCGGCCGGATCTGTTGCTGCCCAAATCGGAGACCGGGGAAGCAGAGCCGGAGGTCAGGAAACAGGTTGGTTGGTCTGCTGCTTTTGGTGCTGCTCCGGCAAGCAGCGCGCCACCTGCGCCTGGCTTCGTTCGAAGGACGAACACGAGGAAGAGGCGCGGTTTACCGCGTCCTCGCGGAAATTGCACCAACAGAAACGGACAGACCACGAGGAGACCGCTTCGAAGGCCCATCCCGCCGCGGATTTGATAGGGTGCTTTCCATTCGCGTCACGGGGAATACACGTATACTCGTGCGGCCAAGGGGCATTAGGAAATTTTGTTAGACATAGAAAGAATTCTTTAGCCGATGATCGACGGAACAGGACGTTTCGTTGTTGCATCGCCGGAAGGATGTTGTTAAACAAGGGGAGATGACGATCACGATTCATTCTGTTTCTTCTTTCGTCAGGATGTGCTTGAAGTGAAAGGGGTTGTCGAGGGTAAACGGACCTTAGAATATTAAAGCTAATGCACGATTGAAGTTGGTATGGGAAATGAGTTTATTTATGATTATTTGATTTGAGTTTGAATAAATAAATACTAATTACTTATTAATATTTAAAAATTAATACGTTTTAATAAATATATTTAAATAAAGTAAATTACTTAAAAGTAAGTAATTATTTATTATATACTAATAAATATTTTATGTATCGAGTGATCAAATTCTTAATTGGAATTTATTCGATTTCTGTTTTTTGTCGTTGGTAAAAGGGGGAACGTGAGTGTTCTGGAACATAAGGGATATGGATATTGAAAATTATGGACTATACTTATAGCAAGAAAGGGCTTTTGAGATTTTGTTTCGTAATGAATTTTGAGTTGCTTTGAAATATTCAAATAATTGTCGAATTTTTAATTAAAAATAGAATTTTAATTTATTTGTTATTAGAAACTTCTGTAATAATTTCTGAATTCAATAATTATTTATATTGGAATATTCAGTTGAAGGTTATAAAACGAAAATAAAAAAACTTAATATGATTACCTATTTAATAAATATATATTTCACATAAAGTTATATATATATACCTTACAGTTATATTTATATGTTTATATTATTTTTTTATTTATTCACAAGCATATGAAATTTAGATTTGCCAAGAATTTAATTTAGTAAATTAAAGAAGAATTCTCACAATATACCAACCACGCAAACTATGATAACCCCATAATTTAAAAGGAAAACTGGAAAATAACAAATATTCACAATAATTTGTACAAAAATAACTAAGCGTTGGCGGTAATATTCTAAGTTTCCTTTATGCTCGTGAACATTTTAATAAATCAAAAAATACTCCAGCAGATCGTATCCTCTCCTTACAGGTCACACAATTATTTTGTTTAGTTATCTAGTGCAGTGTTTTGTTATGTTAATCGATACAGCTAGTAGTTTCTAGTCAGTTACTACAATAACCAAATGTTTGTTAAGTTGTTTAACTGATATTTATCCAATCAATTGATCAACAGAAGTATTACTCGAAGTAGCGCATGAAAATGAGAAAGATAATACTCTATTGAATTAATATGAATAGCACAATGTTGTGAACACGTGGACCGACTTTACCTGAATCGCTGTATTCCCCTTACAGCTTCAAGTTTTCAGGAAGGAAAAAATTACGATAAGGAACTATACCTTTCATCCGAGAGACTAATTTTGCTTGACTCAACATTAGCATTGACAACCGACAAAGACCAACAACTGTTGTCGATAAAGATAAGCGTCGTCGTCCAATAAGGTGTGTCGTAGTGAAAATTTATTATGCTGAAATTTTGGTATTAGCAAGAAAGAAAAAACATATTTATTAGGTGTGTTGTATTGAAACTCGTTTTAGTCGATGCTCTTAACTGCAATTGTGAACTTTGCGTTCATCAATTGTACGAAAAAAATTTTTCTTTCTGACGACTATCTTATTTACTGAAAACGCGAGCAACAAAAAACAAAAGAAGAAAACGAAAAAAAGGAAGCAAAAAACGAAAGCGTGTGGTGTGTTCATAGAGATTTTTTTTCGTTGTAGGCGTTGTATTTATTACGATATGAATAAACTGTTTGTAACACTTGTTTAATTAGAGTATAAGGAAGCGTGCTTTCGCGGAATAGAAAAACTACTTTCCGTCGTTTCTGTTTGTGAGTGCGTATCTCTGAATATCCCATGTAATTAAATCCTATGTTACTACCGACGTGAATGCCATACGGGTCGGTTTTTATAGCGACAAGCGCAGGAGTTTGATTGCCAATAAACTGGAAACTGTAACGTTGAAGATTTCTTATGTCACTTTGTACCAGCCGAATGGAAAGCACCCGCGGAACGTTTCAGTTGGAAAAGTGATCCTTCCATCCTTACGTTCATCTCTTATCTCGTTTGTTCCCCGTATCTCACTTATTAAAACCGTCGCTTGCTTTTCATGCCGGGGGTTCGTTGAACCGACCTTTCTCTGTGTAACAGCTCTCGGCTGGAAGCGGATCTTATTTTTACGATAATTTATCATGGGTGACACCTTTTCTGTCGGTGCATCCTCTGTGTGCTTTACTGCGCCGTGGAACTCGGAATTTATATGGAAACGTGAATCAGAGTTTCGAATATGTTCGAGAACGTTTCGAGATCAGGTAAAAAAAGCTTCCCTAATTGGTGTGACATACAATTAGCACAGTAAAGACAGACGAATTTTATCAAATTTTTATAAAATTTGTCTTTGAATCAGAAAATATTGAATTTAGAAGATTCTTTGTTACTGTGACGGCCGAGTAATATAGGTGAAGTTTGTAATGGTTCGAATTCATTCAAAAATTTTCGTCACTTTTCGAATCGGAGTAAACATTTTCAATTTATTGATTGTCATCGCTACGTGGTTGGAAAATAGTTAAACCCCCTCGAGTCTTCATGAATTACTTTCTTGATTTTATGATCGAATTTAAAGGGTTAGGGTTTTTTGATTTTTGATGGGACAAGTTTACATTTGTAGATTGTGAAGATTTACTTCAGTAGCATAATGATGTAGAGAATAATTAATATGATAACAACATACTATAAAATCTCATTCTAGTGGGATATTTGAAAAATTTAAAAAAAGACAGTCTTATATAAACTTACTAGATTCATTAGTTAAGTGTGCCATATGAATAATCCACACTTTCTTTTAATGAAGTTGCCTTGTTTTTATTGTTTGTTTGAAAATAACCATGGATTATGTTCTAACAAAATTTAATATTCAGAAAATTATTATGCTTCCAATTGCATTCCATATTATGTGAAATAGTAGGACATAAATATGAATGAAATAAATAAGAAATTCTTACAAAAAGTATTACTTAAACCGTAATATCTTTCACTGCACAGAAAGAAAGATTCCGATAGAATAATAAAAAGAAATCTTCGATTGGCGGGAAATAAATGACCAATAATAACTCCAGAAACTTTTGGAATTCTATGTACAGTATTGCCCGCTTAAATGTTCACAATCCGGAACTGTGTCACGAGCCTTATCAGGGTAGATAAATTTTATGCGAACTAAAGTGAGCGAAGGAGAAGCGACAAGTGTGTGTGAGATTCCGATACCGATGTGAAAATTTGAACCCGAGTTGGTAAGTTGTGAAAATTATGTTCGGATACCATGTCATTTAGGGATAGCGGTGGACGTTTAAGTGGGCAGTACTGTACTTTGCACATTCAAATGGAATCCTCTATTATGTTTCGTTTTAATTACAAACTCGTTACAGTACTTGATATTCAATTAAAAACTGAAGTTAAAGTGTTAATATGTTTTAGAAGGTGGTGCCTCTTTCAAAACAGTAATTCATTAAATCATAAGTAAATATTTCATGCATGTTTTACATATATGTAATATTTTTTGAATCTTCACCATAAAAATGCTAATCGGATAAATTCAAATCGTCTGTGTATTTCCCGCTGATCAAACGTGGCATAATTTTATCAGCAAATCCACATTCTCGTGAAAAATATCGAAAAGTCACGGTTCAATTAGAATTTGTTGGGGATGATGTCCCCATAACACTTCCGGAAGATCATCCGAAACTGGTAGGCGGGAAGGGTTGAAGCTGTGTGACAGTCACGCGAGCGACATGATTTGGGGCGAGGAACGATGATTAAACTGAGAATGAGAGAGGGAGAGAAAAAACCAAATAAACGTTGTTTTACAAGCTGCTGGAATACCTCATTCAAAACGACGGTTCCGTAGTCTGCAAGTGGTGCGGCGAGGTCCTACCGTCTCGAACCCGTTGGTACAGGCACAAGTACAAACTCCACGTCTCCACCCAGGTCACCCAGCCGGCGCCGCTCTTCAAGTGCCACAGCTGTAATGCATACTTCAAGTCCCGTAAGGGTTACATCGGTCACCTGAGCTCCCGGCATTCCGACAACGAGAACGACGAGAACAGGGAAGAGCAGACGAACAAGAAGACCCGGAAGACCTCCGACGTAAGTCTTACCCCTCTATCACGAGATCGCTTCGCCACTCACACACCCCATGTTCATACCCATCCTCCAACGATCGACACTTGATCAGCGAAAGCTTTTCTTCTGTCCCTCACGTTGTCTTTGAGAACCACGTCGAGGACTGTGTAAGTCTATCACTAGAAAGAACATAATAAAGGGTAACACGTGCTTAGCACTTGGTTACTTCATCGCAATACCATTAGAATAAAGTCAAGATTAATATCCATAACATAGTCAAGCAAGGGTGTACAAAGCAATCGAGATGCTATAATGTTTATAAATACTTTAACACTACGTAAAATGTTAGTGACAAGTATATCATAAATTATGAAAAATATGTAGTCGCAATAAACATACTCATATTAACTTTCTTCAAAATTCTTCTTCTAGACATTACTTTTTCATACAGTCCCTTCACAACTTGAAAAAATCCTATTTGATAGTGTTTTCTCTATTATTAACTAAGGTTCAAACATGTGTAATTTTCTTATTATGAAAACTTCTGCTGTCGAAAACTAATTTGTAACCAATCTCCCAGACAAACGCGTTTCACTGGAAAATAAGCTTGAAAATATCCCAAAATCGTTGAATTTGCTTCGTCCTTCAATTTACCCTATCAAATGGGGTGAGGCAAAGCGTGCGAAGGTCACAGAAGAAAGGTTTTTCGCGGCCGGCAACCTTTATCCGCTTCCTTGCGCATCGTTCGCGATCGTTCACGCTCGACGAGAAGTAAGAGCGAAAAAATGTGAAAACGTGCCCCCTACAGATCGGGAAAGGGCCGGACTGGGAGCAGCAAAGGGAAAAAGAAGAGAAGCTGGTGGCGGACATTATCGATCGTGTGAAGAGGGAGTGCGAAGCTCAGGGTGAGACGGTGACGAGACGGGGCTACTCCAGGCGGTCTACCGTGATGAACAGCTAAGGGCGAGCCCTTGTTAAAGGAACAAAGGGGAATCTGACGCCATATCATCGTCGTACGATGCTCTCCTCGTGACTCGGCTCGAAGAACGTCAGGTGCGCGCGGATCGATCCCTGCCGACGTTCGATCGACACCCCCCTTGCGTCTTTTGACCGATTACGGGCAGTTCTGCGATAAACTAATTAAGGGAACCTCAAGTTTTAGAGAGGCTAAGATCAAACTAGGGTTAAACTTAACACTTGAAATTGGCGTTTCTGTGCTCAATCGTTCGTCACGGGACATTTGTAAATCGGCCTCTGCCGCAGCGATCAAATCCTCCGATCCTCACTCCAAAAACCGTCGAACAATCTCTCCCAGAAGAATTCCATGTCTTCAGAACGATAGTGACCGTTTTACAAAGTTGTCTCTTGTTCGGTCATCCGCTGTAAACGAAGTCGGCAGGGTGATCTTCGATCGCCGATAAACGAGGGTCTGCAAAACTATCTAGTCATAACGCACGCGCGGCTACGTATATTTTTTTCGCATCCTAATTGGCCGCGCGGTGGCACACGATATGTAAGTACGTATTTGTCAGTACGATTGTACGCGCTACCACGACGAATTAAGAATTGGGCCTGGGGGGTTTGCGTCCAGAGCTGCGAGCTTCGGAGGTGCGGTGTGGGAAACGCGCGGCCGTTCTCCCCCGTCGGAAAGAATCTCAATCGTTGGTTGATATCGTTCCTTTGATCTCGATAGGTTCCGCGGATCTCGATCGCAGTGAAACGCGAACGGCGACTGCGGATGTTGTACTGTAGAATGAAGAGTGGTATTTTTGTCGCCTACTCGTGGTGGCGGGATGGTTGTTGTTTCGCTACCTCCTGGATTGGTGACGTCTCTTTTCAAACAATGAGACATTGAAAGAAAACTTCTTTTTCCATTTGTTTTGTTTAATTATTTACTAGACCAGCTCAGGCCAGAAAAACTGATTTTGTTAGTAAGAAGATGCTGCGTCGTCTTACATGCGACAAAAATGGCAGCCATGTTTACGCTATGTGAATTAGAAGAATCGCTGACGGGTGTAGTTACAATGAAAAAAGAATTTACGATCGCTTTTCGATCAGATAATTCTCTTCTCCCGTATTTAATTTTGTTACGATCATTATATACTATTCCTCTTTGAACAAATCAGACATACACACAGCATCGAAAATATGAAATATTGGCACTACCAATCTCGGAAGGACCGAAACAAAACTCATCGACGCGAATGGAGTTGCGATTCAAGCCTGAAAAGCTCTCTCGGTGGGAGAAACAGAGAATCCAGTGCCAAATATGTATCTTCCCAAGCGTAGGACATCTCGTTGCGTACAAAACACATGGAACGTTAACTATGATACGCAATGAGAGCGATCGTTTGCTCAAAAGTGCAACCGTACTACTTTCTTCGGTTATGTTCGTTCAATCTTTCGTTATATTCGACGAGTGCAGGTGTTACGTGTTACACCGTGATTCGCATACTTGGACACCGATCAGATCGCGGAGGCGTCATTCAGCAGCTCGCGCGAGTGAACGTCGCGGCACACGTGAATTTCATAGAAATTATATCGGTATACGGGTATTGATGCATTTAAATCGCGTGGGTGACGTTCATGGATCTGGTAGAACGATTTTAAGTGAACCTGAATGGACTCTCTGAGCAGTAAAACTGAAAATATGAACCATATTTTGTTTCGTGTAGGCTTTACAACAGACATTTGAATATTTATTCAACGCTTTATCCATGTTTGAGTAACGCTATCTCGAGTTCCGTTTAAAATAATAATTTCTGGATCAAAATAATGTACACATCTAACAAGTTTGACAATTATTCAATTATTTTATAAGTTAATGTGTTTAATTGAATTAATTAACAGATTTTCTGTTGTCGAGCCCCGATGTGTATGCAAATGTAGATCACTACGGACAGATACACGGAAATTGAAATGAAAAATTTACTTACTTTTTATGACGCTTCGTATGGAATAAAAAGCTTGTTAAATTTTATTAAGCTCTTAACATATAAAAATTATTGACAATCGTATTTACTATAAATGCATAAAATCAGCAGTCTGACAATTTGCATGAATATTAATATGACAGTGAACGTTTTAAATCTTATACACACAAACGAATAAAGTATGTTCATATCATTTTACGATATATACAAATTCAAATTGCCGCTTAAGTTTACCATATTTAATAGAGGTGTATCGATGGTTTTCCCTCTTCTTTCGTACAAACTTGATCGTTTCCTTACCTCTCAAATATGGCAATTTGTAGCGATGTACATGATGTTCAAACAGTTGAATTTACAAATGCTGTGGGCTTAAATTACCTTTTAATTCATGTTAAAAACTGCATTTAATTTATCAAATCCAAGACATAATAGGACATAATCTCCTTTTCTATACAGCGATAGAATATTTGATTATTCAATTAACAATCAAATTTGTACAACGCTCTTTACTTTGCAAACAATTCATTTCGTATTGTGCGCCAGGTATGCGAAAAACGGTCGCTTAAACACCTGATACATTCGAGCAAGTTAGTTGGGCACGAACTAGTGTCGCTAGAGAGACGGTAGATAGATCGATAAAATAGATAAAAATATATCTACGCGTACAAGAGGTACGAATGAATATAATATAATGCGCGTTGGCGATGATCGACGCGGCAGCATTATATATATATTAATCTTGCTGAATATTCCAAGAAAGTCTGTCCATTTTTTCGAATGTCTCGAAAGTATTTTAATCTCTACTTTATTGTTGCGTGTCGTGCGGCGCAACGACAGAAGAACGAATTGCGTTCATCTCGGATTTTAAACTCACGATCACAATTCGAGTAGACCGTGCGCGTACGCTGTTATACAGATAAAACGCGCACGTAAACTGACTAGTCGTTAAGTTCGGTGCTAATCAATAAAGGCGTAAAAGCAAACCTTTACGCCTTTTTAATACGAATAACGATTGCATCCATTATTTTCGGAACGAGAGAGATGGCTTAACCCTTTGGAGGTGTCCGCGTTCGTCAAGTTGTGCGAATGTTTCATCATCGATGAATTCAAATTCGCTCCGATACGACATTTGTGCCCCGGATGTTTCAAGAAATACGAAACACAAAAGTTAAGGAGGACATGGGATAGCGCACACGTGCGCAACCTACCCTCCAAAGGGCTACTCGAAAGAGGGCAACTCTCTTCTGACATTGCGCGACGGATTTTACACGTAATCATGTACAGGTGCGTAATTGCGGGCGAACCTCTGCGCGTATACTATATTTCTAATCCTACGTTTGCATAATGAGATTTGCGTGCACGTTCCGACGTGATCGTATACGAGCAGAGGATGTTAATCGACTACCACGTCGGGAGAAAAACACGAGCCACTTTTCGTCTTCGTTCCTCTCTCGATCGAGATAAAGGATACAAGTTCTTCCACATTCTTGAATACGCATCAACACGTTTCTTTAATAAAATCGTTGCAATTCAACCTGAATGGGTGATTATAATTTACCAGATAAGAGCAAGTAATAGTATAATTAATTCGGGTTTTCATTTAAATTAATGGATCATTTACGCAACCGTCAACGTGTAAAGATTAATAGGAATCATGCAGGCTTTCAAGAAAAAAATGAATCCTTGATGCGTGACAACTATAAATTGAAGTGGTATCACGGTTTTAAGACGTTTTAAAATGGGAAATAGCACGCAGGTCGTGCCGCGAGTTGAAAAGCATCTTTTGTAAAGTTAATGAGTCCCAGTAGGAGTAAGAAACGCGACGGAAGTGATCATCCGGATGGCAAATGTGACTGATAGATGTCGTGCGACGTGTTTCGCGATGTCTTCTCGCGTGCTTTGTGCCAATCGGCCGTTTCAAGCCACCCGAGAACCGTTGAATCCTTTCACTTGCGCAACTATCCCTTTCCAAAAGAGAAAAATAATAATAATAGGTCCAAAGAACGTATACGATCTGTTTGAAGTATTAGTCAGCAGTAATCAAATTCAAGAAGGGGTAACGTTTAATATATATACACGATGATAACTGTTGCGTAAATCTGTTTCATGTGCTAGACCCGTGCTGTCCACGTTTCGCCGTCGAGTAAATTAGACCTCCCCCACTTGATGTTCGTACTCAAGGAAACTAAACGCTGAGCGTGACACCATGCATTATTATCTGCATTGTATCCGCGAAATCTTAGTTCTCTGTCTCTTATGTACTACCTCTATCCTTTGTTAGCACCAGAGAGTGGGGAGACAACGCTAAGCTTGCGAGGGGGCCACATCCGTGGAAAGCACGGGTACTAGACGATCTCGCTGACCTCGTCTGCCTTTAACGTAACAGTTTACGAACCTTCCATTATCAATCGTCTTCCTCGTCATTATCTTCTTTTGTACACGATATGCCGCTGAGTCGGTATAGATGTATAGCGATACATATATAGGTATATGTGATCCGTACGAGTAATGAATAATGTATAAATAATTTGTAGTTGATTCCCTTTAGCAGCACGTAAGTGATAAACTGAAGTGACCTTTTTCTTCTGGAAATAGGGAAATGGAAGGATGATGTCTGACTTCAATTGAAAGGTTCAGCTAGACGGAATAGGTGAAAGGAAAAAAAGGAACGAAGTTGATCTCGATTATTCCGTTATAAGGCGTTCACTTAGATAACAGACTTCGCTCGTTTTACGAGGATGGAATTATTGTTGATACCGTAGGGGAACGGGAAGACGAAAGAGTGGTTCGCCCGGCGTATTTCAATCTTCCGTATTGAATCTTAAGTGTTACTAATCGTAAGATCGTAAGGCTGACCTCCTACGTCTAACGCGAGACGATTCAAGTTGAGAGAGTATTCGAGGAGATAAATTATTTATTTGTTTACGATGAAACGAGGCCGTTTGCGAATCGTATTTCGGGCGGCTCGCGCCAACTCAGAAAGACTATCATTGTATATACAGTGACAGCGACCGCCCGGATGTGCGACCCCGTCTAAAAGTGCACGAGTTCCACAAGCACGTATGTACTATACGATCGAAAGAGAAAGAAAGGTGAGAGGAAATAATTACAACAAACCATAGTACTTACGATCATGCTAATCATCATCGATTAGCAAACATTACAACTAACGAAATCGAACATATTGTGCATTATATGTCGGGAAAGAAATAAAATCAAAATGAACCGATTAACACTGTGCCTTGTCAATTACTCCTAATTATACACAACAATTCGTATCATTCAAAGAATATATTAAACTAAAATATGATATACTTTATTTATTAATATCTAAAATTTCTATTACAACTATTTCTACGTCTGTAGGAACTTGCTGAACATTTAACACTAGAACTACAAAATGGGTAAAAATCGCCCATTCATAGATTCTTCTTTTGCAACTATTGGAAAGGAACAGATGCTTCTTAGAGAAACGATTAATAAAATTGATTTAAAAATACGTAAACTAAATTATAAATCGATTGAAATCTCAACAAACGTAATATTGAAATTTCTATCGGGAAATTAGAAAATCTGATTGAATCACTCGGTAGTTCTAGTGTTAATGATTTCATCAAAATCGCGCGTTTTCGAAAGTTTCGAAGTTCTCCCAAGCTGTCATAGAGGGCGACGGTAATGCTCGTCCGATCCCAGTCGAGTTTCCGTACTAACGAACACATCCGCCATGTTCTGTTTACAGTCTTACTGTGGTCGCGTCCATCATCGTCGTTAGGTACGCTCGCTTCCCCGCTCCCTCGGTTCAAGATTATTATGTCCCGCACGATTCGTTGGTGATGTTCGAAGGCGTGGTGCGTTCGCGTATTTTCAAAAGGCGGTTCGTGTGACGATTGATCTCGGAAGTGGTGGTCGGCCAACAGCGTGCGACGATGATTCTGTGGTACACGACGATCTACGGGCTTTTGGTGGCCGTACACGGTGTCAATGCTCTGCATGCGAAAGATCCGTTGGCACATCACGGTAGATGCGAGCCGATCACAATCGATCTATGCATGAATATACCGTACAACGAGACTATCATGCCGAATTTGATGAATCACCAGAAACAAGAAGATGCCGGCCAAGAAGTGCACCAGTTCGCGCCTCTGGTCAAGATGAAGTGCAGCCCTGACCTTCGGTTCTTCCTGTGCAGTGTGTACGCGCCTGTGTGCACCATCATCGACAGAGCCATACCCCCGTGCAGATCGTTGTGCGAGAGTGCCCGTTTGGGATGTGAGCGTCTGATGAACAGTTTCGATTTCGCCTGGCCGGACAATCTCGATTGTTCGAAATTGCCCGAAAACGGCGGCCCGGAGCTGTGCGTCGGCCACAACGAAACGACACCGCCAGAGCCCTCGGCACCGGTCTATTCGCCACCCCGAATGCCCGTGGCCGAATTCCAGCCATCCTGGACCAGTGGCCCGAAACCGTACGGCGGCGGCTTCGTGGTCGGCGCCAGGGACTTCGGCTTTGTTTGCCCGTTGCAATTCAAGGTTCCCCACGAGCTTGGTTACTCGCTGAAGGTCGGCGTTCAAGTGGAAAATGATTGCGGTGCACCTTGCGACGGGATGTTTTTCACCGAGAGAGAACGACGATTCTCAAGGGTCTGGGTTGGTAGCTGGGCATCCGTTTGCGCGGCTTCGTGTTTCTTCACCTTTTTGACGTTTCTCATTGACACTGATAGGTTCAGGTAAATAGATCGCTCAGGCTTGATATATGTACACGTGCGGTAATTAAACTTGTGAATATTTGAGCCGGTCTGCTACTTTTAAAAATGCATTTGGTGAAACGTGGAATGAATGAAAATTCGTTCTATAAAGAATTTCAATCGTTTAAAAATTAATTGAGAACTTAATCATTTTAATAATGAACAGTTTTAATAGTGAGTTTTAATTTTACACTTACACGTAAAGAAAAAGTTATTATCTTCGGAGAACATAACATGCTAGGTTTAATGTCAAAAGTTTTTATACAAGGAAGTTTGAGAAGCATAATTAGTTTGCGATATAATTAATAAATATCGAAATAATTATTATTAGTCTTACATGTAATTAATAAGTTTGTGATAGATTACTCATTCCCATGAATCATTAATTTTGCAAACATTTAATAGGATTACTTGAAAAAATATTATTTTAATGTTATTTTGTCTATAGGTATCCAGAGAGACCAATCATCTTCCTGTCCGTTTGTTACCTTATGGTGGCATTGGTGTATGTAATTGGTTGGGCAGCTGGTAATTCAATTGCATGCCGAGAACCTTTCCCACCTCTTTTAGAGACGATGCAAATGGCATCAACTATAACACAGGGTACCAAACACAAATTGTGCACGGTACTGTTTATGGTGCTTTATTTCTTTGGGATGGCATCCAGTATATGGTGGGTCATCCTAACATTAACATGGTTCCTAGCTGCTGGTTTGAAATGGGGTCATGAAGCGATAGAAGCTAATTCACAATATTTTCACTTAGCTGCTTGGGCAGCACCAGCAATAAAAACAGTGACCATTCTTGCAATGGGAAAAGTAGAAGGTAAGTCATCAAGTGATCTGATTATGATTGCCATAATTATTAGTATATTATGTATATAACATTATTATGTTTCTTCTTATAGGTGATATACTATCTGGTGTTTGTTATGTGGGACTTTGGAATGTAGAAGCTCTACGCGGATTCGTTCTGGCACCGTTGTGTGTTTATCTTATCCTTGGAACTGCCTTCTTATTAGCTGGTTTTGTTTCTCTATTCCGTATTCGTACGGTGATGAAACATGACGGTACAAAGACTGACAAATTAGAGAAATTAATGATCCGTATCGGCATATTTTCTGTACTATACATAGTTCCTGCATTGATTGTCATAGCTTGTTTATTTTACGAACAAGCATATTTCGATCAGTGGATGTTACAGTGGAATATGGACCTGTGTTCCAGACCTGGACCACAATCTTTGTATTCTATACCATGTCCTGTTGGTGAACGTACCCGCGACGTTGGGAGGCGACCAGAATTTGAAGTTTTTATGATAAAATATTTAATGGCTATGATCGTTGGTATAACGAGTAGCTTTTGGGTATGGTCGAGTAAAACACTAACTAGTTGGCGACAGTTCTTCAATCACATAAAAGGTCGTCGCGCAGAAGCATATGTTTAAAGATTCATAATTTCATATAAGAAAGCTTGTGAAGTTTTGTTTTTTGTTTAAATCATCTCTTCATTGACGTCACTTTTGGATGATAATCAACCAAACTCGTAACGATATGTATTTCATCTTAATATTGCTGGTAATATTTAAACAATTTATATATTAAGTTCGACTTATTGAAAGAGATCTGAATAGAAATATACAAATTTAATCTTCTTTTAATATTTTATCATTGCATGACTAATAACAATGGGGATTATAAATATGAACCGTGCCAAAATACTCATTTTTTTAACTGAGACGATTGTATGTTTTTTTAAGATATTTACAAACTTTTCCATTGTATTTTTATAGAAGTTGGGTAAAGACTGTATAAAATGTTAGAACTAATCATTGATGATTGGTTTACAAGTATTATTAGACAAAGTTTGCATTATATTTTAAGTATTCTTCTCTGATACATTCACAGAATTCACGTCTAATGTCATATTGTTTATGTTAAGTTAAAAATGCTCAAACTGTTTGCAGACGAAGTGTTCAAAGTTTATAAGTGTACTTGTCTACTATGCACAAAGCAAATGGTTGATACTGTAGCCTATTGTATTTTCAAACTTTCTACTTTGTGTTTGATAGATCACGAACAATTACGCTTACTAATCTCTCAAACATTTTTTATACTTCTATAAAACAGTATTTAGAGATATTTTATGATATTTACTAAGACTTAAAGAAACAATTAAAATTTTTACTTATCTAATTATTAAAAACTTTTTGATATTTTTCATTTCTAACAAATTTCTAGAAACTTTACCTTTCTAAGCTACGACTGAGGCAACCAGGTCTTTAAAAAATGTAAAATTAACTTTTAAGGCATATGCTATGTTAGATTAACTGAATTGTATATACTTATATGCATTACTTTTAGTATGTACTATAATATATTTTTAAAATGTTATGTACATATATATGTGCGCCAAGGAGTTGGCAGTTTTGTATGTTTCCTATGCGTAATGAAATTAACTCGAGAGACTCGTTAAAGCAGATACACAATTGATACTGCTCGGTAACGATTCGCAGACCGGGTGCAATTATTGTTCCAACATATGATCAATTCGTCCATTGAAACTGTCGAGCTTTTGTGTATGTCATGTATTTACGGCGATTAATGAAACAAAAACTAAAACTGCTGTAATTAAAGTGGCCGTATGTACAACATTATAGTTGCGCAAACTATTATACATGAAATATACGTGACGTTGTGTAAAGTAATTATAACTATTATATTCTTTATATAATAAACCGGAATATATACATAAAACAATCTACACATGGTATGTTTATTTAATCAAATTATATTGAGACATACAGGTTACAGATTTATTTACTTTACGGACGTACAATTCTAAAATGCATCCACATAACGTAAATAGTGTTAAAGAATTAAGTAATAATAATTATGATAAATTATTTAATTCGATTGCGTCGTTTTAATTTTTGGCGGTTTAAGAATTCCGATCTTTCGTAATTTTCTTACGATAAACGGTGATGCTCCTAATGTGATCGAAATTCGTATAGGTACCAAAATCTTATTAATGGTGAACGCCAACAAGAAGGCCGACGTGTTATTCATTAGCGATTGATATTCGGCACTATCTGTTTTTTGTATCATTTTAAGAATACTCGTAAAATCTACTCCACTGAAACCAGTAAATATTTTTACGTAAATATACATTTAATGATTAATAAGTAATTTTAAACGTATTCAAATTCCAATGAGATTAAATTTATTATTTTATATCTTCAACTACAAAAGAAATGCAATATTTTCAAGAATTGAATACATTTTTAGTACAAACAATTGTACTTAATGATGGAAATTACTAATTTAGATTATTGTCATTTTGACTGGATTAATTTTTGCAAAGTATAAAATAATAAATTGTACTGAGATGTATTGTAAGACTAACCTAGCTACAGCTGTATAAATTGAACCTAAGGATATCAAAGAAATTATTATGTGAACCACTACAACGGTTATTCCATAATCCCGCACCATAATCTGAAATCTCTCTTTTTTGGTTAAATTAATTTGTTCCTTTGTTCTGTCATTTTCTTTGTTCACATTTGTCGAATATCTCATACTGATTTGGTTGATACAGTTCGGTTGATACAGTTTTCGTAAAATAGTAACCGTTGGGAGGACTTGATTTGCGGTACCTGAGCGACACACTATAATTTCCATACTGTTTACCAAGTCGGTAACAAGAAGAGTCTATCTCCAGCATGCTCTGATAATTTTTGCACTGATTACCATACATTACTGAAAGCCGACTAATTTAATTTTTTCCACTAATCAGAGCAACTAGCGGTAGTAATTATACGTGAATTATATAACATTAAAAATTTACAGTTAGGATACATTCTTCAAATAGAATATAGATACGTTTTTTTACATTCCCGATTTCTGCTGATTCCTCCACCGTTAGAAAAAGTAAATTTTAAAAATTTAGTATACAATATATAGTGGTTAGTATGTAATGTATAGTATGTAACAAAGATCATAGAACATTTTAGGCATGTATGAATTTTTTTTCAGCGTTTACTAACCGCTCGCATCCAACTTCAATTGCGGTAAACGAACGCTTCGGTAATGTGACTTTTGCATGTCCTCGGCAATGTATTTGCCATCTCTGGCCCACTGGCCACCAGGCATGTTTAAATGCATCGATTTGCCGCTAGAGCAGAACGGTTTCGGTACGTTACTCTGCATCGTGCCACTTAAACTGACCGCGCCAAAGCAGTCGTACGAGTCCACATGTGAGTCGCCGCAGGTAGTTGGAATGCTGATACATTCGGCCGTCTTTGATGGTTGCCCGAATGAAAACGATTTGTGATCAGCAGTACTCTTGCCATAGATTAACACTGGCGCGGCGATATCCCGCGATCTCTCAGGAGTAAAGCGGCCAGTTTCGTTCGCAAATATTTCAGAAACGTTTGTGGGAAGCGGTAGAGTAGGAGGGTCAGGATACCGTCGAACGCTCGTCACGTGCAGAGCTTTCAAACGGTTTTGATGCATTGCTCCGTAACGTGTGCATTGCATTTCGACCAAAGAGGTCTTCGCTGAAAAAATGAAAATTTTCTTCTGGTCAGAAAAATGTTGTGACATGTTCTATTAAATGAATGCTGATCAATGGATACTTTTACCGCTGGCAGTAACGCATGCTTATTATGAAAACTGTTTTTTGCTCTTTGTAGAAACTTTGAATTAATAATTATACTGCCCAAAACGTATTTTATGTTGCAATATCTAAATAAAAATTTATTGAACAGTATTATGTGTCTAATTTATTTTATTTTATGTAATTTACTTTATTTTATTCTAATTTTTCGAAATCGTTCCACAAAAGTAATATTTGACATCAATGATTTATGTACTTTTTGTACAAATACACTGTCATGTTATTTACGTGTATTATAATGTTGCACAATCATTGTACATTAATTGTTGGGTTAAAAAAAAATTTTTTTCGTAACGTTGAGAAAGACGTTTGTATCTTTCCTCTTAATAAAAATTGCGCAATATATATTTTATTTGATTAAAATAAAGAAAATGTATAGAAATGAACTGACATAATCGATACTGTTCATGATTTTGTTTTCACAGCTGCAATAATTCAACTGACACAGTTTTGTAAATTGATGAACATAATTGTAGATGACAATTTCAATATAAAAGTATATTATAAATTTCATACCTGCATGTGGAATACGAGAAAGATTTATCAATATATCGGAAGAATTACTGATACGTGATAACGCCATCGTAAAGTTTCTAAAGTACTGCAAAACAGTTGTTTCACTGTTTCACGATACTCATACACTGTCTACTAAAAATGTTCTGAACACATTTAAGATTTAATAAATTCGTGAAGATGAATAAGGCAAATCAAGAACAAACCGGATATTCAAAATAGTGTTATACAGCAGTATCCATGAGACAGCCTAACCTAGCACTCAACATTTATATCCCCTACAAGTTCAGAAACTATGCATGCATAAGTTCGAATATTCACACTCAGCGTATATAATAGTGGTAGTTAGAGGAACGTCATTCAAACCGGTTGATTATCCGTGTAGCAACAAATGCTTTAGTATATGTACGTATGGATAGATGGAATTTGTCTGACGTAAGAATTGATCTACGTAAAAGTGGTGCCAACATTGAAACTAGTACCACTACAGATATCAGTTTGTAACTATAACAATTTTGATTTACACTGCGTTCGCACAAAGCAGAAGTGTCTAACTTAATTCTCTCACGCTAGTAACTCGAAGACAGCGTTCCACCTCTAACTCTGCTCAATGAGCAGTTCGAGGCCACAGAGAAGGTGTAGGATAAAACATTAGATGCGCTGTAAAATTTTGTCATGCATTCTTGTGATTATTAGTACTCTTTATTATTTTCATGTCATGCCCTGTCATATCGACTAAGGCTGGTTTTGCATAGCACCGCTATAAGTGATAGAAATGAGAATGAAAAATATTGAAATTTTAAATGACAATATTTTAGCGCTAAATATTAACTCTACGATTGTAAGTGTTTGTTAAGGCACAAAATTTATCGCGGAAAGAGATTAATCAATTAATGGAAGTTCCACATAAAATTTAAGTTATAAATAGTTCTTAAAATTAACCGACACATATAATCTTTTCACTATGACAAATAATTCTTGCCGTTCTGTGTATAGCATACAGTGTACAAGCGGCAAAAATTATCTGTTTCTGAAAATCTTCGTTTTTGACTGGTAGCACCATCCGTGACAAAACGCTGAAACTGGTAGACAAACGTTACCGATGTGGGAGTTCATGCAGGGTGACTGTGATGCGAAATTAGCATTGTTTACGGTAGCTATCGTGTACACACGATTGCCTCTAATGACTTGCAATTAGCATTACGCAAATGTAACTTTGCGCTATCATAAAATAATCCTTCAGTTTCTCAGGAATATTTCTCAATTCTCGTGGAATTAAGTGTTACAATTAATATGACTAAAACTATTATAACTAAATATCATTAACATATTAATCAAAGATTGTTTAATTTAATATTCTGTCCAACTGAAGTCTTGGCTATATGGGAGCTTAGATCAAGGAAAATAATATAATTTTTTAATGGTACATTTTACTATTCATATTTCTGTATGAATTAAATCTCTCAGATACCAGGATGTTGCATTTTTTATGTGACAGTAGTTCAGCAGTTTTTTATATTTTTTATGGAGTTCACTAATGGCACATATTTAAGTAAATCTGGTTTACATTAAAAATTTTCAAACTAACGGACTAGGATTAATCAGGAAGTAAAGGAAGCGACTGGGATACTCTAGAACACTTTGATTACCTTGCAACATGTACAGAAACCAACACAGAAATAGTATGTCTAATCATATTTATTTGTTCATGTACTGTTACTAATAGATGCTATACGCTTAAATACAGATAATGTATTGCAGAAACGAATATACCAAAAAACTTAGCAATGTACACGCTATTCAAGTCATTTTAAATAGATTATTTTATCGTTTATCGATTACATCGTCCAACAAGATGGGGTTTGGGGTGAGTGAGGTGGTGGGTTACTATTAAATATATTAATTTCGCGGTGTGTCAAAGCTCGACGATACAAAATACCTTCGGTGTGTGTTAAAGAAAAGTACAAAAAGAACAGGAATAATAAGATCGAGTGAAAAGTGGGATTCATGGATTTGAAGGGAGTGGTGAGGGGGAGAGGAAGGAAGTAGAGGTTCGAAGTGGAACAAAAGTGGAGGATAGATATCTCTATACAAAAATAATCGGCAGAAGGCGAGAAAATGACACGTTCTCACAAACGTTCGACGATTAAGCTATGGTACAAGTCGACAAGAATAATACTTTTCTTTTTTTTTAATGAGATTAGACTGAATCGTAATCTTCTCTCACTCGTTACACAAGTACTCACCATTTGCACATTCTTACGGACAGGTTCACTCTC